TCACAAGGCACAATGTGGGCACAGCACAACGGTGCTCGTGCCGCGTTGGCATGCTCTTGCCGCATCACGCGTCACTCAGCCCGCAGGCATCCCACAATGTTCCCTCACACATGCAGCCAAAGGTCCGGCGCCTGACATGTCTGTGTGAGTCTGCCCAAGGTGTAAGTCTGCCCAAAACAGGATTCCTTTGGGAGGGTCAGGGGTGGGGTTTGGCACAGAACAATCAAAGTCCAGTCCGGTCCTCTTTCTGCTTCACCTAATGCTTACCACTGTGACGTCTGTGGAAATGTTCTCTATATACACAGTGAACACAGAGCACACAGCTCGATTGTGGTCCATTATTAAAATTTACTCAGATGAGACCAGGACTAACAAACACATTCCCAGCCACCAACACCTGGATAAGACAACATGTACACAAGTTGGGTTGTCACCTTCAGCCAATCATTTTGGATAGGAAACTCTTACCATCTTAGCTCTCAAGGGATCGATCGTGGTATCAACATGTACCAACATCTCCTGTCCTACGTTCATGGCTCGGCGTTCGTTGGGTGAACTACAATCCATACTTTGATCGCAAAGCTCTTCTTTTTGTTTCACCATTCACGCAAAAATCGTCGCTTGATCTCATCATGGCAATTGCCGTCCCTGAAGGTGTAGTAGGGTTGACCTTAAACATCCTTAAACCAACGGCCCCGGCCCCAAAACCAGGCTTTGGAAGATGATACCTCACTCAAATGAAACCACCCGTCGGACAGCGCCACAGGACGTCACTCTCCCCGCCACTAAGGACGCGCCGCGACGAGCCACCGTCGGACCCTCGGATTTCGGAGTTCGGCCGGCGAATCGAAAGACTTCGGGTAGTTAGAACCTGAATGACCTCTATTTTAGACCACCAACCATCCAAAATATGGTCTTTTCCTATCAAAACAAAGGTCAAATGGGTATAGTTATATAGACCATCCAAATGCGGGATCCAGGAAAGTGCCTTTACGACTGGACCCGACGATGGCACCGTCCTCACCGTACCTGAGGTTCGGTACGGTGATAGGATGTTTTAGGGAAGCATCTGATCTACCTCGCAGTTCCTGACCGGTCTTACCTGATCTTACCTGTGGATCTGAAGTGGACCCCCACCGGCTTCTTGTTTCAGCCCTTGTTTCACCATCTACCAAAACTGGAAGAGAAACCTCTGCCACCTTGACATCTTGCACCCTGCAACAGAAATTGGACCTTTGATGATCTTCCATGCTCTTCCACCATGTGTTCCATATCTTTCCGCATGTCCAATTTCCCGAGGTCAAGGCCATGTTCCTGTGCTAAACCAAATCCAATTCAACTCAGGATGTATTGGCCCCCCCAAACGTAAAGACTCATAATAGTGATCAGGGAACCACATTTCTTCGCGTTACTCCACCCAAATGGGGGATGGATGTGACGTGTTCCCCTACACCTCCATGTACCTTCTGCCTCCAGTCATACCTTCTAAGAAGGCACGACTGGACTCCCAAACGGCTTCGTCGGACTCGGCGCCTCGGCGTAGGAGACCGGCGGCCTCGACGTCGCGAGGGCGAGCGGCGCCTCTGCGGAATTCCGCGAAGACAGGGGGATGAAGGGAAGCGAAGAAGGACATGGAAACTGCTCATACCACTTAGATCTTACATGTTAATAGATCACATGATATATGGTGTCACACTGTTTGCGCAAATTTACTTCTGATTTGATCCCATATTTTACCATATTACAAGGGTTACATGCATTCATGGCGTATATCAATTAATACCCCCACCACCGGTCAGGTCAGGTCCTTGGGGTCGGCCTTAGAACACCGACGGGCGGGTCGTCCGACACCTGGGTCCGAGGACATCTCATGAGGAGATCCCCAGTCGACTGGACCAGGTGGATTGAGAGGACCAGGTGGATTGAGAGGACCAGGTGGATTGAGAGGACCAGGTGG